ACACCAGATCCCAGGTGGCATCAGCAAACCTCTCTGACAGTTCTTTCCTATCTCCATCCCGCTGTTTGCCCTTCAGGGGTGAAAATCTGAATTCAGCTGTGTTCTAGGCAGGTACACACCTTCTGTAATCTCTGCTCTATTTAGATTTTTCTCTCGCCCTAAGCCATGGTTAATTAATGTACACACTCTAGAAATGTTTGGGTGGGTGTGTACTTTTACTTGTTTGGCACAGTGTTTCTGTGATTAGACTCACTGATCATACTATCTAGCTCGCTCAAAGCTGTGTTCCACTAGGCGAGCTAATTAGCTTGTCTGGACCCGTTGCCTTCCCTATGAATGGAGAAACCAGTGAATGTTATTTAGAGGGTTGTTCAAAGGACCAATTGATTATCTCAAAAGCTAATGTACCTACTAGTGCCCTTTAACATCGTCATTCTATCCACATCAGACAACCTTCCACAATTGAAAGTGTTTGTCCTTATATTAATAATCAAGTACTACTGTTCTGTTTTTTTTGTTTTAATTTTTTTAAGACAAGGTCTTGCTCTGCCCAGGCTGGTACTGAATGCCTGGGCTGCAGTGATCCTCCTGCCTCATCTTTCGTACCACTGTGTCCTAGATAGCTTTATGTCAGTTTGACACAAACTAGCGTTATCTGAAAAAAAAATATTAATTGGGAAAATACCTCCATAAGATCTGGCTGTTAGGCATTTTCTTAATTAGTGACTGATGTGGGAGGGCCCATTGTGTGTGGTGCCATTCCTGGGCTGGTGGTCCTGGGTTCAATAAGAGAGCAAACTGAGCAAGCCATGGTGAGCAAGCCAGTAAGCAGCACCCCTCCATGGCCTCTGCATTAGCTCCTGCCTCTAGGTTCCTGCCCTGTTTGAATTCCTGTCCTGACTTCCTTCAGTGATTAACAGAAATATGGAAGTGTAAGCCAAGCAAACCCTTTCCTCCCAACTTGCTTTTGGGTCCTGGTGTTTCATTGTAGCAATAGAAACCCTGATTAAGACACAATGCATCAGGCTTCTTCTTATTCTTTCAGTAGGAAACTTCTAAGTTAATTATTTGAACCTCCAAAACTTCCTCCAGTTTGAAAAATAAGAATTCTTTAGATGTTTTCATGGTAGTAAACAAAAATCATCAGATATGCCCCAAATAGAGAGAGAGGTAAGAAGTGGGCAGTCACTACCCCAAAAGCCTGACAGAACAACCCCCAAGTCTCAAGAAACCCACAGCTCTTAAACCATTCAGCAACATTAAAGTGGGGAGCTCTGTGACCCTGTGGAGATCTGGCCACACTAACAGTGAAGACTTCAGCTAGGAGGGGAGATGGCTTGTGGAACTCACATCTCTGCTTTCTACATGAAGGAATATGAGAAGACAGTCAAGCACCATGGCACAGACCTGGAAGCTGAGGCAGAAGATTGCTAAAAGTTTAAGGTCAGCCTCGGCTACATAGTCCTAGTCCATCCAGGGCTGTATCAAGCACACACAAACACACACACACACACACGTGATATAAGAAGATGAAAGAATTCGGGAAACAAAGCATGGAAAGGTGATATCGACACCACCAAAAGGGGAAACAGTCTAAAGTACAAAAAGTCAGGACATCTATATGTGAAGGCAGCAAACCCAAGTGTTGAACTCTTTTCCAGCTGTGTGTCCCTGAGACCTGTACCTTTGTGTCCTTTGTATTACATGAGTCTGCAATGTGCCCCAGAAGCTGTAGGCCAAAGGCTTGGTCTTCAGTTTGGTGATGCTGAAGATGATTAAACCTCTAGGATGTATAAGGTCTATGGGTAGGTCTTTCGGTCTTGGTACCAGACCCTCAGGCACCCTTGAAGGGGACTGTAAGACCCTGCCTTCCCGGTTGCCAGGAAGTGAATAGCTTCCTCCATCATGGACTCCTACCCTATAAACCATGCATGAAACCCCAAAGACCGTGAGCAAAGTAAGCCTTTATTTTTTATAAATTATTTGCCTTGGGTATTTTGTCACAGTGATAGAGGCTGACTAACAGTCGTAATGACTGTGCTGTGGATCTTTTTGGCATGGAGGCAATGGAAATGAGACAGGCCATGTGTATCAGGAATACAGGCAACACTGTAGTGGGGCTCCATCTTGAGGCTGAAAGGAGTCGGCACCAGCCTGGAGGGGAGCAGGCTGCTCCTCAAAGGGAGATGTAGGCCTTTATGGCTTCCAGGAATGACTAGTGAGCAAGCATCTTCTTACCAGGAGGACATCAGGTACTGAAGGGTAGATGAGAAACCAAAGGACTCTGGGTGCCTAAGCTGCTGAACCCATGCACCCAACTCCAACAGGCAGTCAGCAGCCTCCAAATCTCTGAAAGTTACAAGTTAATGTGATCACCACCCACAACATACGTGTTCTATACAGCACATGGGAATCTGAGACACAGCACCTATCTGTGTGACCCCCAAAATAGTGATTTTTTTAATCCGCAAAGGACAAGTGAGTGTTTGGGTTTATTTAGGTTTTCCCCCCAGCATCTGTTGGCGTCCTTGGGGAGTGGATGGGCTGCAGACTCCTGGGGATGCTCTGCTCCTCGTATGCTCAAGGTCTTATATGACGTAATGATTTGCACAGTTTGCACACATCTGTGAACCTTACACCAGGACTGTTCCTCCACTTTCCACAGCCCTTTTTCACCCTCAAGTTTACCTGACCCTAGGGATAAGTACACAATTCAAAATACACCTAAAACAACTCGTAAAGACATTTATTTTAAACACTTCGTTAGCATACATAAAATTTCATTGTCTGTTATTAAAGGTTAAAGAGAATTTGCTGTTTGGTTTTGTATGAAGAATGAAATCTTGCTTGCCCCAGTGAGTATCTCAGAGTACTGGTTACTTTTCTGACAGCTGTGGTCGAATGCCTGACAAAGGCAACGAGGAAGGAAGGGTTTGCTTGGGCTCCAGTTCAGGGTGCAGGACAGGCAGCAAAGGCAGGGATGGCGGGGCAGCAGCAGTACAGTACTGACTGCATCTGTGGGGATCTCTAGTGGGAGCTCAATCCCTGAGTGAGAAGGGGAGATATGCCTGCCTGTCTGGACTCCCCATCCCTAGGCAATTGAGGCTCCACAGAGCTTGTCCTATGTGCATTCCTACTGGTGGTTTCTGCGTTTCATTTTCCCTGTATTGTACTTAATTCATTTTGAACCTTCTAGTCTGATGTACACCAGGTGTCAGCGACTTTTTTAAAGGGCCAATCTGGACAATCACAATTCTTAGTCACACATGACTTGACTCATCTCCTCCAGGTTAAAATCTCAGAAAGAATGAATGTGGAGACCCAGCCCACTTCCTGCACAGCTCCTTGATGAATCCATACCCACCTAGGAGCAATCAGCCATGGCTGCATGGAGGAACACATGACCACCAGGTTGCCCTTCTAGGAAAAGGCAGCCTGCCCCAGAAACCAGTTGTGGCTTGACAGATGTGCACTGAGGCCCATTGTCCAACAAAAAAGGGACTTATAGCAGATGTATAGACTAGTGAATGGAAGAACGAGACTGGACAAATGCTTGGAGATTAAATAGCCTCATTTTTTAGAAAAGTATTCAGGGTGGGAATGTAGCTCAATGCCTAGGATATGTGGGGCCCTGGGTTCTAGGAATCCCCATAGCAGTGACTGAATATTAAATGAGTAAATGACTAAGTAAAGCAGGCAAGCCAGCGTTTTGAATTTTTGCTTTTATTGCCACCTGCTGGCCAGAACCAATATTAGGCTAAAGTGCTGTCAAAAGGGTTTCCCTTTTATGCTAAAAGAATTTTTTCTAAGAAAACCTGTGGTTTCTTAAATTTTTTAAAACAAAACTACTATTATAAAATTAAAATTTTAATCACAAGACAGTTATGTAAAATTTGTTTATATTTCATATATTTTACATGAAAACATTTTAGAAAAACAAAGTTAAGAGTTTTATCAAAAGTATAACAGGTATTTTAAAATATCTTTACATAATTAAAATACATGGAAAAATCAACATGAGAATATTAGGAGAATGAAAATATGTACCAGCAGTTAAGAACACTTGCAGCTCTTGCAGAGGACCTGAGTTCAGTTCACTCTGCAGACAGCTCACAACCACCTGTAACATCGTCTTTGGAGGGCAGCCTGGCCATCCCCTCACTTCTGCCCTCCACTGCATATCTTTACCACATGGCCCTGAGTGCTGAGCCTCATCCCTGCCTCTGGGACATTGTTACGTCCCTGCACTGAGCCCTGCCAGATGTGGCTGCGTCTCTCTTCTTCTATATGCATCAGCTCAGGCCAGGAAATACCCTCTGGAAGTCACTGCAACTTTCCATTGCAGGATCGTGGGCCCCTACTGTCACCAGTAAGGAACACTGTGGCATCTGTGACAGGTCTAAACCCTAGCCACATCCTGGCTAAGTGTCAGTATCTGTCCAACTGTATGCCTAGGGAAGGCTATGGCTGGGCCAAGGTCACATGACTCAGGCTGTGCTTCCTCCTGTACACACAGAAATCAAGGCAGCTCCATGGCAACAGAACATCCTTCCATCCTGAGACAGCCACATAGTCTGACAATATTTCATACAATAAATAATTTTAAAGGTGTATTGATTTTCATTTTATGTGTATATATGAGTATCTGCTTTTATGCACGTGTATTGCATATGTGTCTGGTGTCCTCAGAGGCCAGACGAGGGTGTCAGATCCCCTGGAACTAGAATTACAGGTGGTTGTGAGCTGTCCAACACGGGTGTTGGAAACTGAAATTGGTTCCCCTTAGAGAGCTGCTCATAACTGCGGAGCCATTTCTCCAGCTGTACTACCAGGACACACGTCTTTCACAGTCCTAAAGTACCATATTCAGTGGTTTGTTGATTAACCTTTGGCCCTCAAAGAGGATGCAGCTGGAGAGAGTGACGGCAGCCTCTGAGCTTAACACTGCCATGCCATGTTTTGTTTGTTTTGTTTTGTCTTCCTACTTTGCTGTCTTTCAGATCGCCATGAGGTTATCTCCAAAGAGATTCTGGAGCTGGACCCTTGGGAGAACCAGTGGAACGTTGTGGCCATCAATGTCCTCATGCATGACAGCTATGACGTCTGCCTGGTAGCTAGGATGAACCCCCGAGACCTCATCCCACCACCCTCCGATCTGATCGAGGAAGATGGTGACCACAGAGAGCAGAGATGAGGAACGCGAAGCTGGAGGAGCTGCAGCTAGAGGAGCCATGGCCTGGCAGCCATGCTTGGGCTGCTCAGAATGCAAAACACGCATACTGTGTGGCGCTAACAAACTCATTGCATGCATAGCGCCCCCTGGGTAAAGCAGCACTGAGCGGTGGCAGGGGTGGGGGGTACAGGGTCTTCCCTCAGGGGCATCCCAGCCTGGTAAAGTAGATATGGCAGTGCAGGGCAGACAGTGAGGATTCATGGGGGTAGGAGAGAGTACAGAGGAGGGCAGCATCCTGCTCTGCCGGGGACTCAAGAGGACTGCCAAGCAGTCCCATGGGTACTTTTGATGATGAGGTTGTGGGACAGCACAGTCAAAGGTTCTCAAGGAGGAAAGTTGGTGCATGTCTGTGGCATCTAGTCCAGCCTGGCCACACTGTTTGCACACAGGATTCGCCACTGAGAGAAAGGTTATAACTAGGTGGTCAATGCCTGAAAGAGGAAGACGCATAGGCCTGGGCCTGGGTAGAGGGGCCATCTCTTTTGGAGTGTTGCCCCAGCTCAGTCTGTCTGATAGAACTACCCTGAACTACATACAGCAGCAGTGCCCACTGTGGCCCTGCCTGTGGCCAAATGTTCATGCCTGGAACCCTGTTGTCATGGGCCACACTGAGCAGAGCACTCCTGGACACAGAGGGGCCCCCTTGGGCTTAATAGTGAGTGTATAGAGTGAGCTTGCCCAGAGTCTCTACCTAGCTCTCAGCTGTACAGGACCTTCCTTAGATGGAGCTGAATGCAGCATGTCTAAACACAGGAACCCAGGATCAGAGTAGGCTCTGAATGAGGAGGGAAGAGGCATATTGGCTACCTGCTGCCTCCTTCAGATCCCTGTCCTGGCTGGGAGGGGGAGAGGAAGTTTACCCCGGCCCAAGCACAGCGCAGCGAGCTCTCCCCAGATACATCAGGGGGATCTGCAGTTACATGCAGAAACCTACATTTTGTTTCCATTCATATTTCTGGATGCACAGCAAATCAATTACATGACTGTTCTCTAACATCACAAAAGCTCCTGTTAAGTACTGTGGACGCCCCGGGGCCTTCCCAGAGGCCAGCAGACCCTGCATGGAGACAGCCCCATAGCAACGCACACTCTCCAAGTTCCAACCTCTCCCTGACAGGAGAAGGGGGCTCAGTCAAACTGGAGCCACTGTCACTAAGGCATTCTGCCTCCTATTCCTGCACAGGTGTGCTCCCAGAAGGCTACACTCTTAGAAGCAGGGACCACGTCTGTCTCTCTGAGGTTACCCACTAAGTCCCTGTCACAGTATCTGGCACGTGGATGAGTTTTGGGTGACTGGAGTACATAGCTTGTCTAAGGATCTTGGTCTCTGAGCTTGTCTGGGACAATATCCTCATTGTATCCTCCAGTGGAAGGTGGTAATCTGAGGGGTCCTTTTCTCAGGGAAAATCAGAGCTGCTCCAGGCAGGCTGGGCAGAAGGTCTGTAAGGAAGGTCTCTGCCCCTGAGTCCCCTTCCAGAATCTCTGATCCTCTTCACCCACCTGGGCATATTAGAAGCTCCTTGTCACCTGGGTCATGGGCTACAGTGTTCCTTCTGAATGCACAGCCTAGATCATGAGCAGAACTTTCCAAAGCTTACCTTTCTCATATGCAGCATGGGAAGGGAAACCCCACATTCTTTACAGAGTTGGTGTGTGGACTGAGTGTGAAAACACTGAATGAAATACTACGTTAAACACAAACACCATGAACAGGTTTTAACTGCTGGCTGTGTTACTGTCGCTATGATCAGCCTTTCCTGGGACAAAGTGCAGAACAGAATCCGGGACCTTAGGGAATCTCAGATCACAGGGAGAGATGTAGTGGTTTAAGGTGGTTCGAATTTCCCCTGTGCTTGATTCCTTCAGTGGTAAATCCCTAGGGTCTGTAGGTCCTTGAGACCATAAGGAGATCTCTGAGGCATCACCAGGTTGTGAGAGCCAGCCTGGGCTACAACACCTTTGCTGTATTGGAAAGGAGCTTTGCCGGGGATGCTGGGGGAGGACAAAGGAGAGTAGCTGGTCTCCCTGGAGCAGACATGCCCTACAACTGTTTCAGCATGGGAGGGGAGGCAGGAGCTGGGGAGTATTCTCAGGCTTATTCCCGACAGGTACATCCAAGGTCTCAGATGCCTGACATGAATTCCCTTCTACATCCAGAACCCAGAGTCCAGGCTCGCTGGCTCTGGTGCTCACTTTCAGCTCTGGTGCTTCTTGTCAGCCATTCCTATTTGTGATTCAAACCGACCTGTGCTGCCCTCCCAGAGAACTATTGTTAGAGATTCCATTTGGACAGACCTTCCTGCCACCCGTCACTGGCATTGAAGGTGTTCTGACACTCGGGAAGGCCTCTTAGAAATGTCTACTATTGGGGCTTCTTATCTTTGTGACTCAGGATTGCTGGACGCCTAGTGAGAAAACACAATGGGGAAGTAATTTGGATGCTGGCTGATAAAGGGCTGCAGCTGTCAGCCATACTGACTCGTTTGTGCTCAGCAAGAGGCAGCATTGTTCTCAGGCTGACTTTATAATGAGGAAATGCTCTGAGTGCAGACTTAGAAAATACATTTTTGCTAATGAACAATTGCCTGCATTTTGGTTTTCATATTGTGAGTGAGTGTAAGTTTTGGTTGAGCGAGAATCCCTGTGCCTGGTAAATGTGGTGTTTCCAGAACAGGAAATGTCATGTCAGGATGGAGGCAGGTGGCGAGAATGGGCAAGGGGCAGCAGGTGGCCCGCTTCCAGGTCAGTGCAAGCTCTGGCCCTTCTCTTCATGGCTCCTTATTTTACACAAAGCAGATTTACAAACACGGTGCCTCCCCCCTCACACCCCTTTGAGACAGTCTTTCTAAGCCCAATCTGGCTTCAATTCTGCAATCCTCCTGCCTCTGGTTCCTGATTACCTGCATGCACCTCTACTCCCAACTATAAAGTTTCATCTCATGAGGAGCAAAAGCCAAACTCAGCTCAGTGGCCAAGAGCCCACATTTCCTGTGTTACTATACAACCTCAGCAGAACAAGTTATAGTGAATTCAGAGACTTAAAACGGCACAGACTTATCCTTGTACAGTTCTGGAATTTAAGACCTCCTGTGAATCTCAACAAGCTAAAATCTGTGTGGTGTGGCTGTGACCCTCCTGGAGCCTCTTGCCTGTTTCCGCCTTCAGAATGTGCTGGCCTGTCTTGTTCTGAGGCCCTGGCCTCTGTCTCCACCTCCAGAATCATGGCCAGGTTCACGTCTTCACTTCTCTCTTCTCAGGACTTTATGATTAAATTGGCTCACTTGGACAATGCAGGGGACTTCTTATTAAAGGTCAACTGAATAGCAACCTACTGGCCAGTGGTGACCTCAGTTCCTCTTTGCCATGTAACAAAATATATACAAGTTCTGGCACAGATATGATGTGGTAAGGGAACAATTTCTCTGCCTCATACCCCAAATCCTTTATGTTGCCCATACAACAATCCACACAAATATGTAAAAATGTGATTTCTCCACTTTCTCTTTCCCTGGCAATGACAGGGGTATTAATACAGATGCCTGGGTATTGGAAGCATGTATCCTAGGGCCTTGCTTGCCTGTGAAGACACTACAAGAAGTCTTAGGACACCTCACTCCCCAGAAGGGCTCTAAGAGCAGGGGTTCTGGGAGCTGGCTGGAGGCTACCTCGAATCCACTGGGATCCACCCATAGATAACTATATACTTGTATACTTGTATACATGTATAGCAGAACGGGGAACATGGGCAGAGAGAGCCAGGTCACAATGCAGAATACCTGAATTAAATGATCCCGAAACCCAGCCCAGCCTCTGGGCCTTTCCAGCTTTGTGAATCATCATCTCACATCACTCTGTGAACCATCGCAAGGCTTCTGAACAGTGGCACAGGGAGAAGGGGGTCATAACCAGGAAGTAAAGAGTCAAAGGGTAGGAGGGTCCTAGGTCATCATCCTTGCTGGGCAGTTGACTCTGGTCCTGTAATTGGGCACTCAAGAGTTAATTCATACCTACTGCACCTGGGGATGGGGCTGAGCAGATGCAGTTGTCCAGTACCAGCATTTGCTGGGAAAGAATCCATATGCTGGAGCCAGTTGCTACCTCATCAGAGGTATGAGTCTGCTACATGGGACCTGCAATAAGGCCCTGAGAGGCAGGCAAACTCCTATTGAAAATGACCAATTAGAAAACAGAGGAGGGAATTCAGCCAGGGAAGCAGGTAGGCTGACTGCTGATCTTCACCTCTTCCTTCTCCAAATCCAATCCCCCAGTCTCATCTCCAGCTCTGTAGCAGACATCTTCAGCCTTTGCTGGCATTTGGTCGCTCCTTCCCTTCTCTCCGCCCCTCCCCCCATCTTGGATGGATCACACAAATCAATTCCCACCCCCACTCATCACTTTATCCCAGCCCCCAATTCCAACAGGCATGTCTTTGGGAACCCACCAGCCAAGCCTTTGAGAGAAGCAAGCAGGCCAGCAAAAGAGCAAGCTTCAGACAGTCACTCTCCCTCTTCCTCTCCAGCCCTCCCCCAGACTCATCCCTAGCTCTGTAGCACACTACTTTTTGTGGCCTCTCCTCAATCTCTATCCCTTTCGCAGAGGGCTAAGCAGATCCTGATAGAATACGCTGCTTTCCTCACTCCTGTGGACGGACACCTTCAGCCTCCACCTCCTAACCCATCCCCATGTCAGCTCCCAATACCTAGAAACACATTTTTTCCTGAGTGGCCATACCTATTAAACTCCCATAAGAATTCCCTACCAGGCAACACACAGCCACTACACTTTCCCAAGAACCAGAAAGGGCAACAGAAACCAAGGAACAAAACACCCAACAAAGACAAGACCAAGTATCAGCACCTAGAACTACAGTCATCCCAAACCCAAATGTCTAGACACTAGCATAAAAACACAATAGGCAGCATCCCTCTACAATGAGCAAGTATCTGATGGAGAGATGGGAG